TATCCAGTATTGGCAAAAGTTACTGGATAAAAATACTCTTTACAACAAAACTGAAGTTCAAAGAAAAAATTATATGGTCTTTTAATCCGACAAGTATCTTAATGCCGAGATCATACAATGCATGTCATCCTCTGAAAAAAGACTAATTCATGCATCAAGATTTATACACCATTCATCAGAGTTAAAAGTTCTGAAGATGAAAATTTAACAAGCACATATTCAACTTGTCATTAAATAGGCTAATCCTCACCTGGTCCAGCATCATCATGGTAGTCCAAATGCTTGTAAATCTCAATAGGAGCTGAATAACCATTAATAAGTGAAAATGTCCGAGCGTGGGAGACACAAAGAATCAAACCAAGAGCTAGAGGTCTGAGAATCTTCGCTATCTGCATAAGCAAAGCAAGTGAAAATCTATAGGCACTGTTATTGAAGCTTGTCAATTTCTCTGTGGACATAGGAAATTACCTTAACTAGAGTGGATGAACCATTGGGATTGTACTTATCCCTGAACAGATCAGGAAAACTTTCAATCACAGCGGAAGCAGCAACACAGATAAGTGGATATATTGGGTACAGAAATCTGCACAGGCAGTAAACAATGAGTTGCTACATCAGATTTTATTTGCAATTCATGTTACTTTCAATCTCAGATGCAGTAAAACATAGCTTCATGTTTCTTGGCTACAGAAATGACTTTGACCAAGGAATCTTATCATGAGCCTTATCCAATCTGTTTTAGCAATGACACTAGCACCTTCCAGGCAATTATCATTTCGGGTAAAAAAAAAAAAAACTAATACATCAGATATCAAGAACAGTTCCCAAAATTCAAACAATAATAGGTGGATTCCAGACAACGAGGAGAGACATACAAATTCCTGATGGAATCGAATTTCAGTATAGCACTGCAAAAAAAGAAATCTGAAGAAGACAATTATAGCTTCAATTTTACTAAATAAGGATTTTAGTAGAGCATGTTGACCAAATATCTTTCCAGTTAGCACACTTGTCATAGACGAGCCACTATAAAGGTCTTTTTGGTTGAGCTCAGAAAATCAGGAGTTTCAGCATAATATTCAAGTAGACATATATATGATAACTATATATTGTCGTGACAAGAAGAAAAACTCAAAGAGGATTAACCTTTCTTCTTTGTGTGGCTGTAAGGACATAAAGGCAATCCAGAGATAGACAGGTGAAACAACAACGAGCAACTCAGGAGCATACTTCTTCTTAGCAATGGGTAGTATAGCTAAGAACAGTAGAGCAAACACAAAACAGAGGTTGAAATTGTTAAAACCATTCCTCAAATAAAATGATGCCCCTTCAGTACCATAGAGATGACTTTCACCACCCCCTAAAACATTGTAAACCAGCAAGTTGATAACAGAGGATGTCCACTTCTTATAGTAGTCGTAGTCAACAAGAACTGAGAGTACCTAGAACAATTTGTACACCAAGTTGAGTCATCAGGCAGCATGAATAGGTGGTCCAGGGGAAAAAAGCATGTGAGCAGCACTAAAACGGGTAAAAAGCCTATTACGTTAAGTAATTTGAAATTTCAATGTAGGACGACGGACTTGCATATTGAATTTTAGCAACATGAACATTTGGTAGATGATTTTTGTGCATTACGGTAAGTATGAATAACTCTATACATTGGAAATCCAATACTAACTTTTTGTTCCCTTAAAAGGAAACTTCCCAAATTTTAAGCTTGAAACATGAAAACTCAACATAGCAGGAAACTTAATATGATATGATCAAACTTACCATAAGGACGATAGAAGTGACAACACCTGTAAGAAACACAGGTTTGAAGCTTTTAACCAGTGAGTAAATTGTCAGTGGAAGAAAAGCAAGGATCGAAAACGGCCAGCCCAGAATCACTCCAGTGGCAGCAACAGAAACTGCCATGGCAGGCTTATTAAATAGAAATAGTGCTGAAGAAAGAGACATGGCATACATTGAGAATGAACTCGGAAGGAAACCTGCGTAAAGGAAACGTAATAGGCATTAGTATTATGAGAAAGTCGACACAGGGTATGACAAACAACATTTAGGAGTCACCCACACATATCTAGCTCACATAGTATGAATGCAAAGAGAAAAACAGCTGAAATTTAAAAATCACTAAATTGTTTACCACCGGTAAATAAGAACCTCAAATATAGGTTACTGAAAGTAACACACTCATGCTTCATTAATTGTTTACCACCAACAAGGAAAAACCTCAAACACAGTCTAGTGAAAAAACATACTCGTGCTAGCAAAGAAACAACCACTTGCTAAGCATAGCATTGCGAGTGCATATGATGCAAGACGTTTTCCATATTTTCGGGAAAGGGCTACAACTAGAGCGGCATCACAGATGACAGACAGCCCTGCAAGAAAAATTCTCACAGCATAAAATACTCTCACCTGTCATGTTGAAAAACGGAGAAATTAGAGAATGAATAACTGAAAGAAGTAATGATGAGAAATATCTGGGGGAATAAAAACAACATCACCTTTTCCTCTCCAAACCACCAAGCAGCAGGCCAACCCACCAGTTTGTGAAGCAGAATATACAGATACGACCGCAAGGCAAACTGCGAACTGCAAAGACAAGTAACCAAACTTTGTAAAGTATTATCATAACAAACTGAACTCTAGTTACTAAAAGGGAATCATACTAATATCATCAACCAGTCAACTGTGCTTCAATCCCAAACAAAATTCAGGTTGGCTATAAGATTCCTTCATAACCATTCCTCTCTACACGACCCTAAATTATTCCAATACCAGTTTGCTAATAAATATTTCATCTAATACGGCCGGGTTCTCTAAATCACAAACATACCCCCCACACTGGCACACAAGTCTCTGACCAAATTAGAGGACCCTCGTCAAACATCGACCTAATGTATATGCAACAACAATGACTAAACCTTAACCTCAACTAGTTGATATCCTCTATATGAATCGTTGGCTGCCAAATCTCAAAATATATGTCCAGGCATATGTACAGAAGGAGGAAGCTACAAGTAAAGTTCAGGATAGTTACATATTTAGATTGCAAATAAGGATTAGTGACTTAATACTGTATCAACTTTGTTTAATGGAGCAAAAAATTGATCATTTTAGGGGAAATTAAACCAAATCTTACACATCAGCTAAGAAAAATCATTCCAAAACAACATTTGACAATGCTATCATTGTATAGTACAGAATTGAAGATGGTGAAACCTGTATTCCCAAGTTTGGAAACCAGACTTGTAGAGCAAGTAGTGAAGAGGCTCCCAGTAATTGAACACCTCGTCACAATCGTGAATAATATTTGACGTAGCGCTCATATGCCTCAACATCCCTAGGCAAAGCAACGGCAGAAGCCAACCTAGTCCTCTATCGACGCCTTCATTTTCACCGTCCGATCTCTCCGGCTTATCTACCTTTGTATACGCCGGAGATGACGCCGTCTCCGGAGGATCCGACGTCAAAGCTCGTCTCTGCCTCGTCGCCATAGCTATTTCACTGCTTAGCTTCCTTTTTTCTTCTCTGTTTCAATTTTGTATTTCTCCTCTACATTTGGCGGAGCGGTTTTTTTGCAGGACTTTTCGGTTGTTTTGAACCGGTTGGGGGAATCCGGTTCAGAGAGATCCTTTGCTTCTTCTTAAAGTTTAAAAGAAAATGATAACTATTATGGTCCCTTATGTTTAGAAGTAGGTTCAAAATGATGCATAAAAAAATATTTTTATGTAGATTTGGTCCTTTATGTTTGCTAAAAGCGAGTATGTTTGTCTCTGTCAGATATCAACAAACTTTAATTGTTAAATTTAAGGAAAAAGGGTCAAATACGCCATCGAATTTTGAGAAAAGACTCATTTATATCATTTTCGTTTGAGAAAAGGCTCATCCATGACATTATTTGTTAACTCGAATGGCGTAGATGAGTCAAACTTTTAATGTATGACATAAATGAAGCTTTTCTCAAAGTTCGATGACATATTTGAGCCTTTTCCTTTTTGATGGCATTTTTTTTTTTCTGATGGCAAGCCTTTTCCTTTTTAGAAAATGATTTAACTAATGGCATGGCTGAATCATAATTTACCCACGTGTTAGAAATTTTTTTGCAAAACCAAAACTTTTTTCAGTTAACAAATAATGAGATGAGGCTTTTCCCAAATGGAAATGGCATAGATGAGTCTTTTCTCAAAGTTCGATGACATATTTGAGCCTTTTCCTTTTTGATGGCATTTTTTTTCTGATGGCAAGCCTTTTCCTTTTTAGAAAATGATTTAACTAATGGCATGGCTGAATCATAATTTACCCACGTGTTAGAAATTTTTTTGCAAAACCAAAACTTTTTTCAGTTAACAAATAATGAGATGAGGCTTTTCCAAATTGGAAATGGCATAGATGAGTCTTTTCTCAAAGTTCGATGACATATTTGAGCCTTTTTCCAGAATTTAATATGATGAGCTTGTATGTTTTCTTATATTCTATTAAATTGCATAGATAATACCCTAACGTGTCGCTTGATTTTGAATTATAGAAGAGTTAACTCTGACCAAAAATCAGCACAAGCTTATACAATATTTAGCTGAGAGTTTTAGGAGATCTTATCACTAATTAGTATAGTATTTGCTTGCTCCTTTTTATTTTCTTAATATCTGCATATAATTTTATGCATGATAACATATGAAATATTCGCAATACATGGATAAAACAAACCTTCACTATTCCTTCATAAGGAGTAGTGAGATGGTTTTATTTTGTTTAAAAATAAATGGCTACATGAGACGAGCTTAAATGGAGATTCACGATCTCATGAAGTTTCATATAGCCGATCCAACTTGTTTAGGACTGAGATATTGTGGTTAAAATTCAAGTAACCTAGACCTATTGCAAAGCATAAGGTGCTAAAATTGAAAGATTGGAACTGAGACTAATTGCAAAAAGGATTTGGTAAATGAAGAAAGGTACTCTTTTACAGCATAATTTTATTCAAGAAGCTACTAAACAGAGAGGGGAATAATTATTCATCCATTTTATGGGGTAACTAAACTAGAAGTTGCAAAAAAAATGTACTTAAGGATACATGATTCTTAATGTATACTTTAGGATGGGCAAATACTTTACCAACCATTAAAACAAAAACATAGTAACAGATTTAACCAGTATTCTGCATTCCAGCAGCAATACCTTTCATGGTCAAGATGAGTGTGTCTTCCAAGCCGGGAGCATACTCGCTTTCTGGATTCAGGCTCACGAGTTCAGCAGCAGGTTTCGATTCTATGTATTCCTTGGTAATGTGAGGCCTTAGAGTGACGTTGTAGGTTGGATCACGAATCCTCTTTAGTGTGTAAGCTTGGCATACATTTAAAGTAGTGATATAGGAATCACGCAGCCTGAGTCGTTGTTTTAAGCAGGGGTCTCCCTCTAGAAGTTCCTTGTGTCCAGCAACCTATACAAAAGAAACATAAAGAACAAGGATATCATGCGATCAAACATGATGAGTAACAACGTATGCCAAGTGCAAGAACTTGGTCAAGAGTAATTTACCTGAAGCAGGAGGCTCTTAGTCTCCTCATAATCGGACCTCAAAAGCTCACCGAAGGACCACAAATCTTCAGAAACCAGAAGCTTGTCGTACAAAGCAGCAATGCCGGGGTCTCCCTTGGCAAACACCATCTCAATCAAATCAGCAGTAACTCTAAAGAATGGCCATTTTTTGTGCATGTCCTGCAGCATATTGAGGTTTTTTTTATCCTTGTTAAGTGCATACTTAAATGCTGCCCCAAAGCCAAGCCAGACTGGCAGATGAAACCTAGTCTGGGTCCATGCAAAGATCCATGGAATAGCTCTAAGTGTTTCTATGCCTCCACTTGGTTTACGCTTTGATGGACGGCTACCAATGTTCATCCGACCATACTCCAGCTCGGGTGTTGCCTGCAATTGTGATCCAAAATAAAAAATAACTTATTAAAGTTGTAGAAATATTTGTTACATTCTGGTAACACCTTTTGTTAGAGAAGTAATATAATGCATTTTTCTAGCACACTGACCAGGCGGAAGTACTCGACAAATCGGGGTTCCTTGAATACTATTGACCTATACTTCTCTGTAGCAATGACAGAAATTTCATCCAGAAGTGCACGCCATTCTGGCTTTGGGGGGAAAGGTGGATACATTCCATGTTCTAGGGTGGCAGAAGTGAAACGCTGGAGTGTCCTAAAACACAAGTGTTCCTCCCCAAATGATTGCTCAATAACCTCACCTTGAACTGTTACACGAAGAGATCCCTGAATTGTATCAGGTGGCTGAGATAATATAGCAAGATGGCTGGGACCACCTCCTCTTCCAACTGTACCACCTCTGCCATGGAACATAATTAGCTTCACGCCATATTGTTTGGAAACTTTTATAAGCTCCTCTTGAGCCTTATATAGCTGCCATGCTGCCGACAGCCTACCAGCATCCTTTCCAGAGTCTGAGTAGCCAATCATGACTTCTTGCTTCCCATTAATGCGGTTTTTGTACCACTCAATAGAAAAGAGACGTGCAATAGCAGCAGGAGCAGCCTCCAGATCATCCAATTTCTCAAAAAGTGGAACTACCCGTAAAGGTTGCTTCACGTGGCATTCACGCTGTAAAAGCTCAACAGCAAGCACATCAGATGGTGCAGTGGCCATTGAGATGATGTATGCCCCAAAGCAGTCTGATGGAAGTTCTGATATGACATGGAATGTATTCAAAACATCAGCAATTTCTTCAGTTTTTGGTAGATCAGGTCCAAATAGAGGTCGCTTGCCGCTGAGTTCAGAGAGAAGCCACTCTTGTCTACATTCCTCAGACCACTCTCGATATGAACCAATTTCCAAGTGCTGGGTAATGGCATCAAGGACATCAGTGTGGCGATCCGACTCTTGTCTTATGTCAAGTCTCACAAGTGAGAGTCCAAAGGTGGAAACTTGTCGTAGAAAATCCAGAAGGCTTCCGTCAGCAATTGGTCGATCCCCACAAGCACAAAGAGATCTGTAGCAGAGCTCAAGAGGTTCCAAGAACTACACAAAATGTGCAACCACTTTACTAACTTATTTATTCAGGCAAAAGAATCAGTTTGTGGGGCAGAAAATCGAAATACATGCAATTCTGACAGAATACAAATGTGCATGCCAATGATCACACAACAACAAAGAGACGTGGCATATTCACTTCTCTAGTCCCTTAATCAGGAATAACATGTCAAGTTGAACAAAGAATAACAATGCTGCTTAATTTTAGATGCTCCACATTTACAAACAAGGCATGGGAAACAAAGAAGAAGAAAGATAACAAAATAACGAAGTGTTTCACAAGAGTAGTGGAGTGGACCCATCATCCACTGAAAACCATTAGGCACTGGGCCACTGGCCCTTAGGGATTTCTCTGTTATGAAAAAATACTAACAATAATGTAGTGTTGCACACCTGCTCGATGTTAGTATATGTTGCCTCCTCAGGAATTTCAGAGAACCCATTGGATAACAGCTGGCGAGTACGCTCACGTGTATGATATAGTTTATCTCTCACATCACCAATAATTACACGATACGGTTCACTTGGTGGAACTTGTTTCCAGAATTCTACATCAAAAGTAAATTTTGAAGGTCAAGAGTTATGCAATTGCTCTGTTCAGCAGAGGTACAGAGAAAAATTCATGCAGCTTCTGAAGACTGACTAAAGCACCAGATGCTAAAAATCTTTTCTATTGAAAATCATAGACAACAGCGTGCATTTTTCTCACTTGAAATGGAGAACATGCAAAAGGTTACCTTAAATCAGTACTCCGAGCAGTGCTATCAAATTTATATGGAACAAGCAAGTTATTTTAATTAGCATTCATGCTAGTTACCTATGTAGTGTTTTTCGTCTCTCTTTAATGAACGGTGTTGTTCATCTGCCCGATCACGAAGCTCGTCATTGCAACGCCACATAGATAACTGAAATAACATTCTAGTTAGAATCATCTATAGGGTGTAGAAAATGATGGCAACTTTTCAAAATAGACAACAAAGAAAGTTATGAAGCATTGTAAATTACCTCAAACATTAGATCATCTATCTGAGAATAGTACAAATTCGCTGCCATCATTCGAGCCAATAAGCAAACATCTCTAGTGACCTCAGGAGTGACTCTTGGATTACCTGCATTTAGTGGCAGACATATCCTGAGTGACTGATGAAAGAAGTATTTACATGATCTTCTATCAAAAAAATCTATGAAGCAATATCTTTAGAAGATATCTTGAGAGAAGAGCTTTCCTTCTGTCCGATGCCCTTCAAAATGTATCATGATTCAAATATCAAAGGTTTTATGTTCTATACTGCCAATTAAAGTAACTGAAAACAACATTGTTAAGAGGAGAGAAAATGTACCATCACGGTCGCCACCCATCCAAGATGAGAACTGGATGAGAGGAGCATTATAAGGAATTCGTTCATTAATCCCAATGTTTTTAAGAGCTGTGTCTACACGTCGTAGAAACCTCAGAACACCGTTCCAAATTGTTTCATGGAAGTAACTCATTCCAGCTCTCATTTCATCTTGTGGTGTTGGAGGAGTCCTTCTGATTTCATCAGTGCGGAAAGCAGCTTGAATCTGCAGAGGTGGTAAGCAGGATGCATTGTGAGAAGAGAACATATCCGTCTTACAGAAACATTATAATTCACAGTGTTGGTAAGCAGGATGCATCCTGTATAGATACACAGATATCATCCGTATTCTGGAGAAAAGACAAAAATGGCCTACATTCTAATCAAAGACAAGGAATCCTTGTATTCATATAAAGGCCATCTCATTTCTCAAACCTAAAGTTCTATAGAATTATTTTGTTTGGAGATGAAATTTGACTTCCTAACAACTGAAACGACAGATTGGTTGCTATGTTTTTAGTCGAAGTGACGTCTCTCTGTTGGGAATAGACCAAATAAGGGGTGAGAGACGAAGACAACTTGATAGGAGATTAAAGCACCCATATATTTGTTCTAAGAGCTGGACAGTCTACAGAAAACATCAAAATTTGAAGAAGAAAAATGATATTTATATCACATGCAGCCAGAAAGTGCACACCGATACTTACCTCCCTCTGTAAAGCTTCATCCAGCTCCTCTTTATCGTCGGGTGTAATGTCTTTAGCATACAACTGAGCCAAGCAATTGCGGATCCTAAACAGTAGAAAAGTCAGCACTAAAGAAGTAAAACAACTGAACAAAAAGCGAAAAAGAAGACTTACATGAGTTATGAATAATACGATAGAAATAATAAATAAACAAAATTCAAACTTGTAAATAAAAGTGTAGCAAAAGATGCGAATTTCTGAAGTGTAAAATCTAAAGACCAGACCTTGCATGCTTCTGAAGCAAAGATCTCCGGGTAGCTTGAGTCGGATGAGCAGTAAAGACCAAATCCACTGTCTGATTCTTCAGAGCTTCAAAAACTTCTCGAGGAGACTTCTTCAAGTCCACTACAAGTCTCTTGAGTGTTTCTTCAATGTCGGATTCAGTCATCAAGTTGCTCTCATCTGAAAAGTCGCCCTTTTTCGACTTTTCCCTCCCACTATTGGCAATCTGAACCTCCTCAGCCAAGTTGGCCATGTTAAGCATGTGAGAAATAGATTTAGCAACAACAATTGAATCCCCTGGATCCAAACTTGTCAACACACTGCCAAGCTCCTCCAGCTTCTTCTTATCACGCGTGTTTTCATACTCAGCAGAAAGCTCATAACATTCTTGGACCTAATATCACATCAACAAAATCCAGCATTATCAAAGGCGAAAGAGTAAAAAAGTTCTAAAGTCTGTCGGGGCTTTAAGCAGAAATGGAGAAAAAAAATACAAATATGCATGTGTCGTCCAAGACAAATAAATATAAGAATTTATTTTAAACATATGAACAAAGAAATTGGATTTCGCTCATTGGCAAGGAAAAATAAATATGCCTTAAGAGCCTTGACATGACACTAAAGCGCTTACTAATCTTAGAGAGGCAAAACGCTCAACATGTTTTTGCGCCTCGCTTCAGGGATTAATCACGTTTTAAGCGCACCTTTGACAATACTAAGAAAATCTACTATAAAACTCGATCAGTTTTTCTCAGTATATCCCAATGAAGTAACAATTAACTCAAGCTACAGTTAGTGAACTTCTTCTAATCCTAAGATACTTCATGATTCTTTCAAAAGAAAGAATTCACAATCACTATTGAAGACACAAAATCTTCAACTGAGACTATAGTAATATTTTTTTTAAACTTCTTTTTATAACCATCGTATCCAAACCAGTCTGCGCCAAACCAGTCTGCGCACACCTCGACTAATTCCACAGAATACCTGTCACCTCCCACCATTTCATTCACCACTACGTCACACCACCCTCCCACCACTTCATTCACCACTACGTCACACATAATACTATAACACATAAAAATCAAATCTTTAGCTAAAACACAGTTAAAAAAAGATTGATTTTTTAAAATGCATATACATACTGTTTCTTTGATACCCTCTCCATGCAAATCCTCAAGAATATCAAGAAAACGGTCCAAAAGCAAAGCATCATACTCAACAAGCTTATCATCTTCAGACACCTTAGTAGGTACCAAAAGCCTCAACTGTGCATCTATAGATGCCAATTTCTCCAAATTACGAGTAGCCATCAACCCCTTTAAACTCCAACTACAAAATCAAGATCCTGCAAAAAAAAGAAAAAGTGGGACATAACATAAAGATCATAACTTTTTAATACAAATTACTCTACAGTATCTTGATAATGACCCCATCAAAACAGAATTTTTTAAGAAAAAGGGATTTTAAGGGGTCCACATGAAACGGAAAAAAAATCAAATTTTGAGCATATGGCAATGGAAAAAAGAGTATTATAAATAATGGGGTACCTGAATCTTGATATATTTCAGAATCCAGATGATGAAGAAAGGAAAAAAAGAAGTTTTTTTCCAGTAAGAAAAACAAAAATCAATTTTTTTTTACATAGAACAATGATTTGGGTTTTTCTTATTTGTTTTAAGGGATGTGTGATCTAAAGAGACAGAATTGGTTCACTATAAAACAGAGTGGAACTCTTTCACTCTACTTTGTCTACTAATCTCTCACTTTTTCATTATTCATCTTTATATTATATGGTGTTGTATTATATAGATGGGCTTATATTAAATCCTTATTCACTTACATAATTTTAGTTCTCAACAAATATTTTCTATTCAATTTTACTTGCCTGATTTTAAACTTTGGATGAGGATGACTCTTAAAAAATAATGATGGACGTGTATATATTATCATAATAAGTATATTAATTGATGTTTAGTATTAAATCTTGAAAAGTAATTTAAAGAATAAATAATTAATTATGAGGTAATGAAGAAAAAAATTTGATTTTCCCTTTATATATTAAAGGTGATAATTAAAGACGTAAACACACTTTTTTAGAATATATAAGTAAGCAAAAAGTAATATAACAACCGAAGTGCAAATTCAATATCATTACATATTAGTTAGTCTATAATCTTTAATTAATTTGGAAAATAATTTGAAATTTGTAAAACACTAAGGTAAATCAGAAAAAATAGTTATATTTTATATGCATTAAATAATTTATTTTTAATATAGTAGATAAATAAAAGTAAACAATGGACTAAGTATATGAACTGATTGTAAATTTTGCTAGTTTCACGCCTTCACTCAAGAGAATGGTAAAAAAAAAAATTGGTTAACTGTCCTGCATATACCAATATGAGATGTGTAAGGAAGAAATTTTGGGCACATGTTTGGTAAAATAATTTGAGATTTAAATTTTATGAATTTAAATTTAAACATGTCTTGTATAGTACAAATATTTTGGGTGCATTTTTTCAAAATTTTCAAAATAAGAAAAATAACTTCTTCCTTTGAAAAAGAAATTTAATAAGTGTTTTTTTCCGTAGAAATAATTTTTTTTTAACTAAATAGTAAACACACCCTAAATACTTGCACTTATTTTGGTTAAATTCTTATACATAATTTTAATCCGAATTAAAATATTAAATCTAAATGAACCCATAACTTATCCTCGCTACGGCATCCTCTATTGGCCTCATTTTTAAAGGCATTGAGCCGCCCCTATAGGGAATAATGTTGAGATCTCAAACCATCTCACCACAATCATTTTCAGGAGTTTGAACTCTGGATCTTTGAATGTCGGAATCTCGTACCATCTCACCACAATCCATATATTGGTTACTGCTAGAGGAGGAGCTAGGTAGGAATAAAGAGTTTATTTAAATTATCCGTTCGACAAAAAATTACACTATTTATACATAATTAAACTTTTATATATATTTATATATATTATAGATTAAATCTCCTTTTGACTTCTTCTTATGCTTACTTCTCTATATTACGAAATCCGTAATAAAAATTCTGACTCCGATAATCATTATTGGTTTCTTATCTTAACATAACATTGCCAAATCACCAAGAAAAAAAATTAGGTTTTCAATAGAATACAAAGTTTAAGCCAAGGAAAAACACTTTTAATTAAAGAACTGTTGTATGACCAAAACAGAAACTGATTGTTTACTAATGTTCTAAAGTTCTATAAAAGCACAAGTGACAACTCCAACAACCTCACTTTTTAAATTCATAGACAACGTGCGTGATCCAAACACCTGTTCTAGTGTTTAGATTACGTGTCTCTATTTTTTTTAAAAATGATTTTATATATATATATATAAATAGACAAGACACGTGGTCAAGTTAATAGCAAACACGTAGAAGGTCGAGTGTGCAATAGTCATGAAACACCGAAGGAAGCAAGTATATCTACTATGTTGAATATTTATAATATATAGAGGTATTAAATTGAACAGACTTAGGTGTTCGTGAAAGAACATAAATATTATGAAAAGTCATATGTTCATGAAAGAACATGATCCTTATGAAAAGTTATATGTTTATGAAAGAACATGTCTCTTATGAAAAGTCATATGTTGAAAGAACATGACTCTTGTGAAGAGTCATCTCTAACATTCTATAAATATAAAGAATCTCTATAAGTAGTCTAAGAAAAATCTGCATGTATAAACAAAAGGCTTTGTTGTATTATGAAGGGTTTTGTTTGTATTTTCTCCAGTATATATACGGTCAATATCACTTTTAAAAAAGTGATTAAATACACACATATTTCCTACTATTTTTTCTAACATATTCTACCTCGAAGCAGTGTCGGATCCATGATTTGATGATCGTGTGTGCTCAAATCCTTTAACTTGAAGTTGTTAGTCAAAAAAAATTCTTTAGCTTCTAATATTTTTATAGTTTAGTTAGTAAATAAAATACAAAAATAGAAAAAATAAAAATTAAGCAAAGAGTCGACAGTGAAAATGTATAAAAAGAAAAGTTAAAAAAAAAAAAAACAATGAAGGAGTTGAGTTAGCTTTTTTCAACAAAAATATAAGCTATTATAGGGATTCGGACCCTCAACTAGAGACACCAATGACCTTAGAATTCTACTCCTGAACCAAAGTACCTACAAGACATAGGTGCTTGTGAGATGTTTATATCCATTTTCAGTATTTTTTTTATATATATTCACAAAATTTTTATCGGGATCAATGGGTGCTCGAGCATTCGAAAGTCTCTACGTGGACTTACGTGGGTCCATCCCTTCTTGAAGGAGTGAACCGGATTAAGACTCGAACACTTAAGAGGAAAATGTTAGTTTCTTTTCTTGAGCTAACCTCCTCAATCACGTATTCACATTTTTATATGCTATTAAAAGAAGTCAGTCTGTGCAATACGTAATCATGAACCCAAAATTCTTAGAATTTCAATATGCTTGTTGAAGTGTTCCATACTTTAGTTGGAAGTATTTTGTCCATAAACTTTTTCCGTGTTAAAAGATTAACAAAATATTAATAATGATCAAAGATAACTAAAGCAAAATAGTGGAAAAGACATGAACCATTAGTTTTTTAAAAGCATTGGCAAGTGATATTTGACATGATAAGTTAAATGAACTATTTGCAATAATTGATGATTTATTTGAACATGTTATCAAATATTTCAATCTGTCCAACGATAATTGTCCACTATTGACTTGACACACTCTTTAAGAAACTATAAATAGAAGGATAATTTTACTATATCACCCTTGGAATATAATTATAAATACAATGTCTTGAAAAATATAATAGGAAAATGACTATAATTAATGATAGGGATAAATTAGGAACTAAGTGTAAAATTATCCATGAATTTCATAAAATGAACAAGTATTGTTGGACATCTATTTTTAGTACAATGAACACGTATTGTTGGACAGAGGGAGTATCAACTTATCATTCGTCCTTGAAGATAAAAAAGTTAGGCACACGAAGCGCTTACCTCTAATATTCCTTTTGTTTCAATTTTTGTAACATTATTTAAATTTTGAGACTCAGATAGTTTAAGTTTAATCGAGAATCTAGATATATTATCTTCAAGACTTTTGAAAACTATGTAAAAAGTATTACTCCATAAATCACAATAATTGACAATTGAATCTATTTAAAAGACATACAATATTACGGTTAAAAATAAATTTATTTGACTTTCTAAATTCAAAAGGTATTACATAAATTAAATTGAGACAAAACAAATATTATTTTACTAGCAATGTAGGCAAGGGAATTGAATCTTAAGCTTAAAACCTTTAAAATAAACAAAATAATGCAAAAATACATTTAAATTTGTTTATTGCAATGGTGGTTGATTTGATGGGAAATTGAACTATATATACCATAAGTTTCAGATCCGCATTAACCGGCACAATATCTTATAAAAAGCCAATAAATATTATCCATTTGATAATTATGGTAAATATAAATAAAAATTATAGTACTATATGTATTTTCACTCTTTTAATTTGTATTTTTTCCAGTCCATATTATATGTTTTTTTTTTCAATTTAGGTTCACACTTTTTTTTCTCTCTAATCTTCTTTTCCTTTAGTTGGCTCCGTCTTTTTGGTTTTATTTTGTTTTCTTTTTTCCTCTTAATTTCCTTTTCCCTTTTTGTTTAATTTATCTTCTTCTTTTTGTCCCTTTCTGTATTTATTTAAAGATAAAAACAAAATACAAAGATAAAATATTGGCTAATTTTTTCAAAATTTAATAAAAATACACGACAAACAAAATAATTAGACTACGACAAGAAATAATTAAGAAAAATACTAAAGTCAGTACTAGTTTGATTGATGAGAAACGCGACAGAGTTAATGATATAGTTGGAGGTAGATCCTAGAGTCTAAAAGGTTTAAATTGAACAAGACTAATGTATAAGTGATGACTGAAATCAAGATTAATGCTCCATCAAAAGTTATTGAGTTCATCGAAACCCATATTTCGTATTGCAACTCTGCCCCTGATTGATTTGAGTCTGAATAAACTCTTATTACATTACAAGACACCTCTCACAAAATACCAAATTATAGTTTGTGCAAAATAAGTGGAGCACCAAACTGAGGCTGCATGGTTACTATGGCTTTAGGAGCATGTGTGTAGGATGGAGACAATTCAAAAGAGAAGCTTTGTAGGATCATACACAGAGCCATCTTTGCCTCTAACATTGCAAAATTTTGTCCAATGCATATTCTAGGACCCCATGAAAATGGAAAATATGTAACTTGACCCTTTGTTGCACTTGATAGGCCTTCTC